TATACTATATATATATATATATATATATATATATATATATCCTTACTTTTGGAGAAGCCTTCCTTACTCAGTGAAGCGTTAAATGCATATCCTTTTTGCTCTTATTAGGGTTATCACCGTCTTTTCTATCTTTCTATTCTCATAATGGATCTAATATCTAGCTAAAGAAATACTTGTAATAGTCATTTCCTTCCCTCATCTATCTTCTAGGTATTTTTATAGTCACTTACTTTTCAACACATTTATTGGCGAATTTGCTTTTCCTTTGTTTCAATCAGACCGGCTGGAGTCTTTGATTCTGCCTGTGTCAGTCAAAGTGTCTCCAATTTGATTATTGGTATATCGGTGGATACACCTTATTAGAGGGTGTATTATGTTCTGTGTGCATCTTTCATAGCTGTTGTTTATTTCCCTCCCCTCAATAAAGAAATGGACTACCGTTCGCCGCTTGAGTTGCGCCAGCAGCTGATGGAGGAGGCCAGGTCTGCGGCTGCTCAGTCCGCGACCACCAAAAAAACGAAGTTAAAGGCAAGTGGCCTTGATGGGACCTTTTCTACCCACCTTTCGAGCAATGTTGCCAGTTCAACGAATGTTCCTCCTTCAACCTTCACACCATTAACTGCACTTCCCGACGACCCTACCGCACTGGTGCGGGAAGTACCCGAGGCTGAGAATATTAAAGCAATGAACGCCGCATTAGAACATGAAGAGGCAGTGCAGCGCTATGTCGAGAGTGAGAATCTTTCGCTAGAGGAATCTGCGAGGTACATCATGGCCAACGGTAGTACTGCTCAAAAAATGTCTTTTGTTCTTCACATTCGAGAAAGCCTAATAGGGTACTCGCTGAAGCAAATATCTAAAATTCTCGGTATTCTTGTAGATTCTATGTGGACCCAAGACCCGGAGCTTCAATGCCGTGTTCCCGAGGCGCTTCAGGATCTTGCTGGCTTGCTAACTAGCTCCATCGCCGATGAGCTTTACGAGGTCATAGAAACGATGCTGACAGTAAAGACACCATCAATTCGGATTGCATGGGGAAAGTTACTCCTTTCACTTGTAAGTTATTTGAGTGCTGAACAAATAGAAAAGTCTCTGATTCCATTGTCGCTTGCTAAGAGCCAGCATGCCGAGCCGCAGGACCAACGTGAACTAAGCTGTGATCTTCTGGGGTGCGTTTGTGAGTTTTTGCATCGGGAAAAAGTTGACAAGATGATTCTGCCGCGTGCGATGGCCTTGTGCCAAGACACTAATGTTGCGGTGCGCGGTCGGATGTGCCAGCATTTGAGCACCATCGCCCACTCTTTGGGGATTGAAGCAGCGAAGCAAAGGGTGGCGCCCATTTTAATTGAGTTGTTGAATGATGAAGAGCGCGCGGTGTCAGGAGCGGCTTTTTCACGGTTATTAGATTTGATCGATTTTTTCGGTCCAGAATATTGCAAAGATCATCTTTACCCTATATTCATGACTTACGTGTCCAATCCTCCTGGTGATGTCGCTAGCCTTTTGGTAGTCGAATATGGCCGTTTTCTTGACAAAATTAAATGCCATATTGCTACGCATGAAGAGTTTCTTCTTTTTGCGTCTTTTTACGAAAAGGCACTCGAGCGGAATGACAATATTACACGACGCAGTTGTGCGTACAATTTCCCTGCGGTCGCAGCGTCCTTGCCCCTCTCAGTCTTCTCGCTTCACCTGTCACCGTGCTTAAATAAGCTCGCGAATGATCCAGAACCTGAGGTACGGCGAAGCACTGCTGCTGGACTTCATGAATTAGTAAAAATTTTAGGTAACACGGCTGCCACGTACCTAGAAGAACCCTTTCTGAGGTTACTTGGTGACAAGGATGGACGAGTACGCTTCTTTATTTTTCAGCATGTCGACTTAATTCTTGACTCTTTCATAGTTCATCTCAGCGGTTTACATCGGGATAAGTTTTTTGAATCAGTGGCTAAGATTCTTCTTGAGTTAGCACCGACGGGTCATACGAATTGGCACATAATGGATTATATTGTGACTGTAGTGAGCAAATATGCACAATACTTCAGTGTGCCAATTATTATTGATGATTTTATTCCATTGATGCTTTATTACGAAAAGGTTGGAGCTAATGTTTTGAAAAACCGGTGTGCTAAGTTGGTTATGTTATTCTTTGCTCAGGTTTCAAATCCTCACTCTCAGGTACAGCTGTTTAATAAACTCGTCACCGAATTCGCCCGCAGTCCTTGCTGCTACCATCGTCAGTCGTACTTCCGCTTTGTGCGGGAGGCAACGTCTTTCTTTTCCCGACGGTGCATTCGTGAGCGTCTGATGGAGTGCAGCTTAGAACTACAGCGCGATTCGATTGTAGAGGTGCGAATGGCGCTGGCGAGCTCATTGGTGTATTTATCGAAAGGCCTTCGTTCTATCAGTCCAGGAGCTTTAGAGGAAGAATACAATAATATGATTCAGAGACTCCTGATGGATGAAAGCGAAGAAGTTCGAGCAGAGGCTCGCAGAAGCACTGACTTGTTGAAGGTGATGGAAATTGAGCGACGTAACAACCCGAAAAAAGTCGCCGAGGAAGAGCAGCTTGATCTGAAGCGGGAGAAGGCTGAGCAGGCCATGTTAGACCTAGCGAAGGAATTCGACAAGGCGGAGCGGCGGGCGAAGCTGCGCGAGCTTCTAAAGAACGGCCGTGATAAGGAGTTCCTGGATATGGGGGTGGCTGTCAACCCCCGCAAGGGGTTGAACGGCCGCACTTCCAGTACCCCGAAGCGCAGGCGCTCCTTGCATAACATAGTTGGTGGTTGCTGTATGAAAAGTTCGGGGTCCTCTAGCCATACCAACGTAGAGTTACCTCGCTTATTAAATTCAAAGTCAACGGCGTTATCTTCTCCAACCTACTTAAGGCGAAAACGTTAATGAGCTCGCATTTAATTCAACACTGAGAAAATGCCTAAGGTGTATACGCATCTATCTGTATCAACTTATACGGATAGACTTAATTTGATGCTCGTAATTCCGCTGATGGAGTCTTAGACTTAAGGATGTAGTCGAGATCTACTATCCGGGATATACTTATGTACATTTCAACTAAGTATACCTTAAGTCTATTTAGTTCTAATGTGATTATTTTATTTTATCACTTAGGGATGTAATTATTCTATTGTGATACATGTTTATATGGATTTATTTATTTTTATTGTTATTCATTTGGTGCTGCACAAAAGAAACAAAGTATGTCGAAATTCCTCTAGATTTCGATTGCCTAATGCTTCGTTTAGCATTAGTAATAATTGGTGATAAAGTTCGCGTATGCATCCCCCTTTTAGAATTGCTTTTTTCCAGATTATTAAATAGAGTGAGCTGCATCAGTGCAGCATATGTAAATGTGACCGGATGATCAGCATGTGTTGCAAAGTTATGCAATTTAAGTGATACGGGGAGCTGGATAAGACGGTTTTTTCCCCTTATGGTTGAAGCTTCCTTTCGGCGGTGTTCGCAGCAATGCAAACATTTTATCCAATTAGCTTGTCTGCTCTCTTTGCTTAATAAAAGACATGGAGCTCATTTTTTTCGCAGTCCATGGTACCTTTTAATCATAAGGCACTGTTGTAAGTCAATTCATGGTGAAATTGTTCCCACAAGACTAAAAGAAGTAAATAGGGAAAGTTTTATTAATTTAGCACGACAAAATTAGCGCCATCTTTGTTGGAGAGAATGTTAAAAGCAGACAGTGATATCTTCCCTGGAGTGCCTAAACCGAACTGTTTGCTATCTCTCTGCGTTCCTAGGTAGGTTAAGAGGAAGTTTGATGCTTAGCTTCGATGTAGTATTTTTTTAATTTTGTTTTCGCATTTTAAAGAAAGCGAATTAACATTTGCATAAATGATATAAATTAGACACTTTCACGCTTTTGGAAAGAGTTAACACTGAAAATAAGAAGCGATGAATTTAATGGCATACAATGCAAACATTGTACTATATTCATACTTATCCCTTCCTTTTAAACAGTAGAGATGGATTAAGACACATCATGCCTCACTCTTGTCTTTCCCCTGAGTTTGTTGAGATATACACGGATTGGCACACCTCATTTTAACATTTGCTTTTAACGTGTTGGGAACTGCATGACAATATAGGCACTTCATGGGATGAAGTTCAATCATGTTCCTTCGAACAAAAACATTCAGGACTTGACCTTCTTCTTGATGTGTTGAATGATCTTTTTAACAACTTAATTTATAAGGTTAGTACTTCACTTGGTAACACGTTAACTTACGTTGTGCAACAAACTTAAGGACATCTTCGAAATGGAGAAGCCATCAGAAGAATTGCCTTCTCTAGATGCACAGAGTCCCTTAACTCGAGAAAAGCGACCGCGTAGTGAAGCCGGGTGTTTGGTCGGAGGAACACCTCTGATTTCCCGATCTCATGTGAAGGAGGTTCCGAGAGTAAAGTCTGTGTGCAGTTATTCAGAGGAGTTATCTTTTACAAGCTTTGCTCTTGATCTACCAGTCTATTCTGCCGAACCTTGCTTTCTAAGCGATCCCCCTACATCGAGTAGGAGTGCTCCTGTACACTCGTTAGATGCTCGTACAGCGTGTGTCCACAAAGCACCTGTCAAAACGCCTGTAAGTGCCAAATCTCCAGCCACCTCCTCTTCGGGCTATTTTTCGTCGCCCTCTTCAAGAGTAAGCCCACTATCAGCGTATGCTTCTAAAACGAATGGCACCAACTCCAGGCTGGCGTCCCGGCGCCAGAAATGGGCTACGCTTCTTGCTTCCACTTTTATGCAGTTGCAGGAGGGGTACGAGGAGGAGAGAGTAAAGGACATTTCCACACGTATTGCCACCGCCATATCGGGTGACGGTGAAGAAGCTAAGGACACGTTTTTAACGCTCTTAATGAACCTCAAAGATTCAAAGAATGAGCTGTTGCGTTCTCGGGTAATAAAGGGGACACTGCCTGTAGAAGTTTTAGTTACGCTAAATGAGGTGGATCTTGTCAATCCGGAGCGGCGAAAAAAGTTGGATGAAGAGTTTGAGCAGCGCTCACGAGATACTAATCTGACCGAGATTGAAAAAGCGTTAATGACTACCTCTACTTTGTTTTCATGTCCATCGTGCAAGGCGCGTGATTGTTCATGGACTCAGAGACAAACGCGCTCCGGGGATGAGCCGATGACGGTATTTTGCACCTGTAATGTATGTGGTAGGACGTGGAGGAAGAATTAAGGATAATATTTTGTGTTGCCTTGCCATTGGGTTTCTGTATTTCGATCGACCCCATTGTGGTTTAGTGAGCGAGCTCCGCCATACCCTTTCATTCGCATGAAAAGGCTAGCATGTTTACTAATAGCAACCGAGCATTATTCCCAAGATATGCATCTTCACTTCATAGTTTTGTCTTTAGCTTAATCTACACCATGGATTCTGAAGAAAGCAAGGGGGATGTTAAGATGGTCGTGAACTCAAATGAGCCGTCACCAAACAATTCAGCATCCTATCAAGACACATTGCGTTTCCGTACATGGCGCAAACACACTCGGGACCTTTATCAAAGCCTGTTTCACATCGACCTTGTCTGGGAAACTCCAGCTGCGCAGCTCATGCCGTACGTCACTAAAAAGGGGGATGTCACTACCAATACCATACTCTGTGGGACGCGTACCGGCGGGCAGGAGCAGGCTTATCTTCACCTTCTTAACGCCACACTTCCGAGTAACGCCAGCATCTTGGATAGTGCTGAACGACCTTATTGCGATGCTACAGGCGAAGTGGGCGGTTATGGAATGGCGCCTAGCACGTGTAACCTTCGGGTGGAGCGCCGGATTTTGCACGACGGTGACGTCCTAGCCGCACGTTACATGTATGCAAATCCACTTCTTATTGCATCTGCATCCAGCAATGGGGCGGTTTACATCTTTGACTGGTCGCGCGTCTCGCTTAATCGGTTTCCGAATGACCCTCCTCGCCCACGGGCGCCCCTACCCCCGAACGAACTGAGCAGCAATCCCAGCGATGAGGAGCGCATCAATTACCAAAAGCGTATGCGTGCGCTCAACGCGATTATAGCAGAACAGGACCGTTGGGACCGTCGACGTGGCCCGGGCCAGCACGTCCTCACGCTGGTTGGTGGCAAGGGTCCTTCTGATAACTTGGACTGGAGTACGTCACAGGACGGCATGCTGGTCTCTGGTTTCCAAGGGAGGGTGTGCGTATGGAAGGTTGGTAACCTCTCCAAGGATGATCCGCACACGGTGGAACCATGTGAGACGTTTCGTTACGATGGCGAGGAAGATTGCCGAATCACCTCGATAAAGTTCTTGTGGAAATCCGATAATGAATTTGTCTGCACTACAACAAGTGGGAATGTGTTTTACAATGACCTGCGCACACAAAACTCAACTGAAATCTTTTCTTTACCAGAAGAAGCTACCGCGCTGGCAGTGTCGCCGCTGGACTCCAATCTGCTCCTTATAGGAAGTCAAGGTGGCGAGGTGTTTCTGTTTGATTTGCGCCAAAGCTCATTGCCACTGCGTTTGGAACAGCTTCATGAAGGCGAGGTGACAACGTTGGAGTGGTGTCCCCACTCCCCGCATCTTTTTGCTTCTGGTGGTGTGGACCAGAATGTTTGTATTTATAACAAAAAACGCGGGAAATTACTCTTTAAGCACGCAGGTCACACGGATAGCATCATGGACCTCGGCTGGAACTGGCAAACAGATAATGCCGGTCAGCTTTTATCAGCTGATAGTAATGCATTAATGTTGTGGCGTCCGCGAGATTATTATTTCTGCACATAGACTGTGATTGCCGATAATATACCATGCCTCATGGATGAAAAGCCATTTGTTTGCATCTTCACCCATGCGTAGGATGCCTTTTGTGAGTCCTTTGGGAAGCTAGAAGGCTTGTGTAGTGATTCCTGCTCTGCTGCACAGGTACCACTCCTATTAACTACAAATAAATATGCAAATATTAATCTCCTCTTGAAGAAAGTAATGAAACAAACACAAAAATACGTACCTGGGTACAAGTCTTTCATCCTTTTCTAGAGTATTATTTTTTTAGGTTTCCCTTTCCTGAAGATCTTGCACATTTTATCATTCATTTCATTAGTTCTATTAATCAAAACAAAAGGAGTATAATTGGGAAGGCACCGTTTTAGGGATGACAAGCATACCCACAGAGTGGGATGGTATAGCTCTAGATGCACGTGTTCTAGAGGCCCTAAAGGATTTAAAGTGGCACACACCGACCGCTGTCCAGGGAGCTTGTATTCCTTTAGCACTCAAAGGCAAGGACGTGTCCATCCAATCACGTACTGGGTCGGGGAAGACTGGAGCCTTCGTCATTCCCATTATCCAGCGGATTATTACGCAGAGGGAGCAAAAGGGTGCCACAAAAAGGGCAAGTAACCCGGTTGCGTTAATTATTGTTCCATCTTTAGAGTTATGTGAACAAACCGTTGAGGTGATTTCGGCCTTGGTGAAGTACGTAAAGCCAAGAATTGTCGTCGAGAATCTTGTATGTGGGAGCACACTGACGACTGCTCGGATCCAGTCTGCACATATCCTCGTGAGTACTGCAGCATTGCTTGCAAAGTTCTGCAGAACCAGTGGACTAACTGCTGAACATTTTCAACATCTTCGCTATCTGGTTATTGATGAAGCTGACATGTTGGTGTCGATGGCTGAGACATCGCTTCGCACCATTCAGTCTCTATTACCCAGTTCTTTGCAGGTCATCTTGTCCTCAGCTACGCTTAACGAAGGTGTGGCTTCTATCAAGGGGCAGTTGCTCCATAATCCCACCAACATTGTTTTGACTACCGAAACTATGAATAGCACACAAGAACAGGATACAAGCGGCCCCATTGTTGAGTCCCGTGTTATTCTGAAGGAGTATCAAAAGAAAATGCTACGCCAGTACTACTTAGTGGCGACTGATGAGTGTCACCGACATACGCTACTCTTCGCGCTGTATCGCATGGCTCTTATTAAAGGCAAGACGCTCATTTTTGTTGAGGACGACGAAGACACGTACCGCCTGCAAAGCTTTTTGGAGCAGCTTGGCGTAGCAACCCTGGCGTACGATGCCAGTCTGCCTGTGAATGTCCGCCTTGACACGCTGCGCAAATTTCAAAAGGGATCTCAAGTCTCCACGCTGGTCTGCACGGACAGCACCTTGGAAAGTGCAGAGAAGCTTCAGATGTCGCTAGATAGTAGCGATGACAATGAGAAGGCCACGACAAATGAGGTTGAGTCCAGCACTCAACGGAAGCGTCGGCGTGGAGGTGCTACCAATAGGCCTGGTAATAGTGAAGTGAGTGCAGAAAATGTTTCCGCCCTGCACCGTGGCATTGACTTCGCTCATGTACGTAACGTCATTTTGTTTGACGGTGTGAATGCCCTCTCGCCGATTTCCCTTTCGCGATACACCCATCGGATTGGCCGTGCCGCTCGTGGGGGTGAGGAAGGTTTGAGCATTACGTTCTTTACAGTGCCGCAGGCCAAAAAGTATATTCACCCACTGCGTGATTACTGCAAATCAAAAGGAAGCAACGTGGAGCCTTTTCGTCAGATGCAGCGTTCTGAGGCATCTAAGTTTCAGTATCGTGTGGATAGCGTTTTGGCTAATACCACCCGTACATCCACCAGAAAGCTGCGTGTGGCCACGGTAGCGGCTGAGCTCAGTCGCAGCTCCTACCTAGCCAATCACCTCTGCCAAAAGGACACTGACGCCTTGCAACGAGTCGTGAATCGCTGCGCTAAGAAAGTTAAAATTGAGCGAGATTTGCTAGCCGTTCCGGACTACATGGCGCTCTCAAGCGTTGATGAAGTTAGCGATTATACAAAGCGGGTACGGGCCGACCAGACGAGGGCCAGTACGTTCAAAAAGGTGACTCGCAAGCAAAAGGTCGACCCCTTGAAGTCAGTGGCAATCAAGATACGATCAGACAGAAAACACGAGTAAATTATAACAACGCTAATTTTCTGATGATTTGTAGGAAAAGGGAACGTAAATATACTTGTTAAAAAAAAATAATGCGACTAAATAATTTGGGAGTCTTTTATGTTGTTGTAAAGGTAGACCATAATAAGTGTTACAGGTAGGACTAGTCCTATAACTTAATCTCGCTTTTTCTTTAAGGTGAATTAGGAAATGCAAATGTCTGATGAGCTATAGCTAAACCATTAATCCTGTTAAGCCTTTATCGATTTCCATTCTATAATTTAGAAGTACTAAGTACAGGACCACCACTTTTGTTAATCCTTGATTATTCGAAGGTATATTAGCACACCTGTACTATCTGAATTTATTAGTTTCAGTACACCAGCTCTGATGACGGATGCTTCCCCTGTAAATCGCTACTTGCTATTTGAGCGATGCAGTGATTTCCAGACGAATGACAAGATCCTTTACGCTTTGAATAATGACTTTTCGAGCAAAAATGAGGTTGGTGTCAAGACATCTCCCGAGCCCGCCCTCAATTCTCACCTTTTGGTGCGCAACTTAGAGGATCTAAAGAAGTTTATTTCACATAGTGAATGTAATACGCTTGTTTCCCCAAGTACCGATGCTACACGGATAAGTCCTAAGATGCCTACGAAATCTGTGGGAAAGGCGGTGTGTTCGCAGCTACTCGAAGAGTCTGCTTCTAGGATCGACGAGCCTCATCCGGAGCTTCTAGATGTCACTGAGGACTTGGATGCGATCCCATGGGACAGTTCTGAGGAGCACCTTGACAGCTGGAGTTGGCCCATTGAAACTCTTTACCAGAACTATCATCTGTGTCTTGCACTTGACTTCGGCCGTCAGACCTTTGACATGTGTCGGAACGGTTCTGTATATGCTGACCGCATTCCGATCATTGTGGAATCGCTTCTCCAGGTGATTAAGGTCACACTCCAGACTCGTGAGCGGGATACCAACGTGCTCGCCAAGTGGATCGCCGCGAACGTCATTGATGAGAAAGCCAAAGAGCTAGCACTGCGGCAGTTGTGGAATCCGAAGATTGCCATGACGATTCTACTCTTGAATCTTCCTAAGGTAGCTCACGCGGATGTCCCCTTTACGCCAGTATCTGAGTTTGTTGCAGGTAAGGTCACAGAGATCGCGGACCACTCCAGCCATTCTCCGAAGGAGACAGTGAATTTTTTTCCCGTTGATATTTCTCCTTTACTAGAGCTAAGCACGCAGAGTACCATTGATGGGCCTGACACCTGTTCAAGCATTCCTTTTCTTAATATCTCTGATGTTCGTCTCCTGCTTGAGGATGATACGTTTATGGGTCGGTTGCGAGATACCTTGTTACTGTACGAAAGTGCTTACCGTGAGAAGGCCCACAATTGGCCCGAGTCTAATCTGTCTAGTTCCTTAGAGTACCTCATCCGCCTGGCCCCAGAGGCCCCTAGAGAATGCTATAGCGTATTATTTGTTACTAACACTTTTCCAACGAGCTGTTCCGAATCCCTTTCCTTTGGTGAAGGGGTAGTGCTACGAAAGAACCTTATTTTGTCTGTTGTCACGTTGAACTTTCAGTTCGCCTTTGATACACCGCAGCTTAGCGCGCTTGCACATTTTATTTCCTCCATAGGTGGCTTTTTGGTCAACATCCGCTACTGGTTGGCTCTTGCCTCCCCACGCACCAATTCTGATTGGTGCCACCGCTTTGAGGGAACTCGTTGCCTCGCTCAGCAGCTCTTTGTTCAGTTGATACGTCATTTCCCAGTGTCTCGCTATGGTGTTATGGAGCATCATCCCTTCAATGAATTTGAAGATCGTGTGCCACTTGTTAACCCCGATTGGGAGCTGGAGGATCTCGTCATCAGCCGGTGTACTCCTCGGAATACTCTTCGCGCAGTAGCTGCGGCTCGCTTCAATCAAGGGTGGTCGGTGTTGATGGACTACAAGGATGAGCAAACAGCTTCACACCTTTTTGCGTGCTATCATCATCATACCCATCGAGGCGTGCTTACTTTGTACTACGAAATGGATATTAATTATCCTTTGGTATACCGACGTATGTTTGTCTCAGGGACTAAAGTCCTGGTAGAAGATTTTCTGTGGGCTCAATCTGAAGAATTGAGCGCAGTGTCCATGGGCAAAGCCAACGACAACTGGCTAGTATATCTGAATTTACTACGTCTCCAAATATCCACCTGGTTGCGAGCAGAGAAGCTAATGCTTAAGCTATTAGACTTCAGCTCCACGCCTGCCGTGAGCCCTTCTTTATCGGAAGCACTGGCCGCATTCTCATCTGCTGATGGTGTCGCTATGGTATGGCACAGTGTCAGTGCCATTAACTCGATGGGTATGTTCCTACGTTACGAGGATGTTCCTTCGCATTTCTTCAATTTTCTCGCACGCACCATACTGCCCTCCGTGTCGCCAGTGTCAGCATTCGCGGCCAGTAGGACTATACTAAAATCTGCAATGCTCAGGATGCATCACATGATAGGCAAAGAGGAAGACCTCACATTTGTGAACAAAGAAACCACCGGCGTTCCTTTGTATATAGTTCAGTTCTTTCACATAAACGATTCTTCGAGCGCAGAGTTCATGCTTGCTTCTGGATTTGAGTGTCGTGTCAGCTTTTTCTTGTGTGATGTAATCAAACAGCGTGAGGTGCTTTCGGATCTTATCGACAGTATCACTGGAACTCTGACCGACGTACCCGCTGTTAGCGTTTCTAAAGTAACTGACGCATCGCGCACCTTAACAGAGGTATCCATTCAGCAACCCTTGCACTCGTCAGCTTCAGCGACTCCCTCTGCGTCGCTGGCATCGTCGCTATTTGGCCGCCTGGCTGTATCAATGTCGCTGTCAAGCGTCAACCGACAAGCCCTACTGGTTTCTTTAATCGCCATATCTCCTCGCCCACTGGTGCTGCTTTCATTTTGTGTTGAACGCGGTAAGTTTGTGAATCCTCACATATTCTCAGAGCCGTTGTTTGGTTCTAAAAGTGCACCTTCCTCGTCGTCTCTGCTAGTTCCAAAGCTGAAACCAGCTTCCGCGGTGTCTATCCAAAGAGCGTTGTTCACCCCTTATGTTATCACGCCTTGGGTCTTGTCAAAAACATTGCGAGAGCGGTGGGTGTTTTCTTGTCCTGAGGTATACCCTCACACTATGCACGAAGCCTTTGTCTTCCTTGTGATGCGGCGCTTGCATGAGGGATTCAAGCTGTTACTCTGCCACACTAACGCCCTTAAGGCTGTATTACAGATCGAAAAGGACGATTCCGTAGTCGTGTTTGACATCATAGCCGTACTTGAGCAACACTACTTAACTGTGAGCCGTTTGGTCACTCCATACAAAGATTCAGCCAAAGCTGAAGCCAGACGAGGTATACAAGAAGACCTTCACATTATCACTACCCTACACACTTTCAAGGCTTTCTCAAGCCTTCAGCAAGGCAACGCGAGACACTCAATGACGTCGCGTGAGACCGTGCGACAGGGTGTGACACCAATTAGTTATTGTACGGAATTCCTGCTGGAGTATTTACAGCCTTCTCACACTCAATTCCTTGAACTAGCGTCAGCGCCATCACTAGGCAGCAAGGGTTGCCAAGAGTTGCGTGAAAAGTTGGTGTATCTCATTGGTGTTCTTGGCGATCACCATGTCCGTCTTACGACTGATTCATTTCGGGATAATTTTTCCCAGCTCCTTTCCTCATCTTCTACTGACATATCTGTGATGGAGGAGACCAAGGTGTTAGTTGCAGTATTGCATCCTATCCGTTATCAAACCATTACATTTGTGCTGATTCTTGAAAACGACACGCCAGCCGGGACACAAACAGGTCTCGTAAAGGTTGCGTTGACCTCCCTAAGCGCAGATGTGTTGCGATATGGCCTTGTGGATCAGTATAGATTGGAGCCAACGCGGAAAGATCTAAGTCGTCTGCCAGAGTGCATAGTGGACCGAGCCGTTCTTCAGTCTTTGCACCAAATATTGACAAACTTTGCAAGCGTCTTCGTCATTCACCAGCTCACTGCGGTAATTCAAAGGGTACCAATGGTTGAGTACAGCGAAGAAACGTTATTAGCGGACATTCATAAGCGGTTGGAGGCTTTAGATAGCTATGTCGCTGAGATGGATGTGTCACACCTTCTTTATGCGATCCAAAATCAGTGTGATGCACAGAGCTCTGACGAAAGACTTAAGGCTACACTAATGGGGCTTGTGGTACAGCAAGCCCGTGTTTTCCGTTCGGATCCTTTTCTGTTTTTCCCGGCTGATCTTGATAAGCAGGTGCAGGATAAGGGCATCGCGGGGTATGACAGCGGTTTTTTTCCTTCAGAATCGAATGCTAAGGATGCGATGTTTCCGAGAGAGTTGCCTATTATGATGAAGATTGAGGCTTTGCGCTCCTCCACCTTACAGGTTAATGCAACTGGGGGCAATAGTGGTGTTACCACCTCTGCGACTGATGTCTGTGGAACCGCAGATAGCCAGCGTTTTTGGGTATCCTGTGAACATCTATCGACACAGCAATGCGACGCAATCCCATTAGCTGAAAATTCGACGGAACTTAATCCCTTTCCACACTACTCCCTGCGTCTGCGAATCTTTTACAAAACAGTTCCACTTGGAATGCTGGATTCGTGCAAAGATGGCGATTTTCGGCCTCCTCCAGCTACCGTCAGTAGCACCCTTAGTGCATTTATTTACAAGAACATCTCTCAGGAGGCTCCGGCAAACATGGCATGGGGGATAAATACAAGTGCTGGTGCTGCACCCACAATAAACTCTGGGGAAGATATCGTATTAGACATTTTTCAAACTATTCAAGCTGCGAATCATGAAGTATCGGATACTTATTTCAAAGAGTCTCGTCCTATATCGGGACTGCCTGAAATCCTTGAGAAGAGCTTGTCCAGTATCAATGACGATCTCAAGCGGCGAATTGCCCTGTATGCTCTGCAAACCAGCTTTTATTCGAGCTCCTTCAAGCAACTTGAGTCAATTATCAATCCCCGCTCGGCAGGTTCAGGAGAAGGCGTTGACTCACCTGCAGTTGAGAAATGCAGCGACTCCGCAGGTGGTGCTGCGACCGAGGAGATTTGCTCTGGCAAGCACAGCTTCCTTGATTGCTTATCCCACGAAGATCCCTCTATCTGGCCGCAGATTTCTACACTTCCTGGCATGACCACGTTGCTTACCACCGTGGTGAAGCCTGCTCTGCTAAGCTCTATTTGCTTTCAAACTGTTGTGTTCCCTGTCGAATTCACGCAGCAAGCGACAACGCACCGCAGCGTAGACCCTGTCAAGGCGGCTGTGGATGTTTTTAAGCGTTGCGTCGATGAAGACCACATGTGTGTTGTACCAGCCGGGGACTTTTCTCACGTGTTTATTCCAAACCGCTTGTTTTTTGCTCACCGCTGGGTCATGGTGCATCTTGAATTGCACGTTAGTGGTTGGTATTCACATCGGGCGACGATCCTCTGCTACGATGCGCTTGCTTCATCCTCTGAGAGGTGCGCATCAAGTAGTTTCAGCCACCAATTGCGGGATCATATTTGCAAGAAAATCACAAGGATCAGCCAACTAAACCTACTGAAGCAGCTTCGCGACACACAATACGCCAACGCGGAGCTGATTCCAGTGCTCTGGGGAGATCAGTTCGGCAGTGGTGCAGACCATTACGACATTGGCGTAAACGAGTTCTCCGCACGGGGAGAAGCGTCCGGCATCACTCCAACCCCCTTGTCGACTTCCTTCTGTTTGCGTGGACAAAATATTTTGGTAATTCCTATTTACTACAAGTTGCAGCATCAATGCAAAAAAATTCTTTCTTGTATTTCTAGCAACAGCTCACGGCTCGAGTTAATTACTATATTTAACCGGGAACAGTGTTTTATGGTCGCAGATGATGATGAAGGTGACACTTTTCACTATATTCGTCTTGTTTTTGTTAAAGATGTACCGTACAGTGCATCCCCTACCTTACCACCGCCACGTCTGCATGCTTCCGATCGTTGCCCGCTGCTGGTTGTGCAACTCTTCACCGCGACCACAAACGCGTCCATTAAGCGACCCCTTCAAAAGCTGCAAGATTTTTGCTATTTTTTGGCTGTACAGGAGCTTCAAGGACACCTCAGCTACATCCAACAGAAGCAAATATCCTTCAACGACCTCGTTTTCTTGCAGAATCAACCATTGGACCCACTCATTATTGACTTGAAAGAACTCCCTTACGCTAATGAACGTGAACAAGATAGAAGGACGGATGCGCAGTTCGTGGCTGCTCTTTTGTTTCTCAACCTCCGTGAGAACAAGTTTAAGCATTTTGAGGTACAAACTAAGGAGCAATCGCACGCAACGAGTACTTTCATGGAGCACTACAATCTTGAGGGAGGAATTAAGCAAAGTACCACCACATCGGCCGGAGTTTTGGCAACTACGCCTGTGGTTCCCTCCCAGCTGTTGACCTCTTCGCATATATCTGAAAAAGTCGCTGAGAGTGATAAGAAACTTACATCCGAGAATGACAGAGTTCTGCGCTTTGTCAGGATCATTGATGGCCTTACCGATGTCTTAGTTTCGTGTGCTGTTTGTTTGAAGAGTTCAAAAATGGACACCATTGTTATTGAACGTTATCTGACTAAAATTCCATCTAAACGCTACCTTGACAGTAACTTAGAAGATGCTATCTTGAAGCAGCTTAGTGAGTGTGTGGCTACCACAGTAGCTCAGCTTTCGTTTCATATCCTATCAAAACGCCTTGGTATCTTGAGAATGTCTGATGTTTTGCATACAACGGAGTTGCTTATGGGTGTTCCCATGAATGTTCCTCTCCGAGACACATTTATGCTTCGCTATGAGTTCTTTTCGCTTGATGAGGCTAGTCCAGCCGTGTTTCCATACCTTATTGAGCGTCTCTGTGGAGCCCTCACGCCTTATCAGCCACGATGCTGTGAGAAAAGGGGTACCTGGTATGCTTCAGTCACGCAGCCGGTTTATGGCTTTCCATGGAAATGGGTAGAAGCACGACAAAACGATTCCCTCTTAGATCAGACTGAAGTATTCATCTTATGTGGCTACACAATTCTCGAAGACGAGGGGGTCCCACAGCCTGAGCTTCAGCCAGTGCGTGTTGCACCATATTCCCCAGCGGATCTGCCCATTACCACAACTACGGTAGAGGAGGCAAACGCTGTAGCTCTTGAGAAACATGGACTCACCCATCAGTCGACTATGAGCTGGCGTATTCTTGTAAGGATGTCCCTTACGAAAGGTATTTATGTTTGCCTATTCAATTTACAGGATTCGGAGTTTATTATTCGGTTGATGAGCCATGTCTTAGAGGATATGCTAGATAAGTCAGCATTGCTGCATACTATCCTCATGCAACGACTGGGCTATGCGATACCCTCTGTGTTTACAGGGGCTGAATTGATGCCACAATACCGCAAGGATATTTCCAATGCTTTGTGGAAGAAGCCGATCACAATTTACAATGAGAGCTATAGACGCCATCCAAACAATGTTCGCTTTCGTTCACATAACGATCTCGCCGATGAGCCTCTTTGGATCGTCATTGAGGGTCTATATAACCGTGGATTAATCGTCAACCTTACTTTTTCCCTTGAAGATGCGATCAAGGTGTTGTATGACGATAGTATTCTTTACTCCCTGGGGGATTGTGAGCGGATTCTTTTTCAGTATCTTGAGGAAGGCATCTTCCTGGAGGACACCACGACTACCTTAAGGCCGCAGCTACCTCTTCTTCACATATTGCATCCCAGGGAGCCCAACTCCCGCTCTATAGTTTGCCGACTAGCCGTTGCCAATTGTATGCCAGAGGATGCTCTCGCTGCGTGTAACTACCGTCGTCATTATATAACTGCGCGTATGGGTGTTGAAGCACAAAGTTCTCGCTCCTGTGTGGCCGAGATTCTTGTTCAATGTGACGTACTTTGGAGGTTGGGTCCTCAGAAGAACATCCTCGACTTAGGGAAATCTGTTATAATGCTTCTGTTGAAAAGTAAACAAGTTTTTGGCTCTCGTGTACCTGACTTTTGGTTGCGTCGGGAACATTGGAGTCCCGAAGATGACGTTTTGGACACCGTTTTGCCGACCCCCTCACAGCAGAACACGAACTACTCCTATCCTGTGAACATGGCGCTGTTGACTTATATGCGTTATCTACAGAAACTCTACCCCTCAATGTGTATTATCGATCTAGATCCAAGCAATGTGGCTATCGCCTCAGATCCAGTTTTACTAAATCGTCTACGTTGCCGTTATGGAAAGGTTACATTCAATAACGGTGAGGTGGTGTGCTTCAGCCCACACCTTTATTATGCCGTTATTCCCTTTGTTGACCTTCTCCGCTGCCGATGCATCTCAAAATACCACAAATCGCTTCTCACTCTGTGCGGGGGCAATGATGCGGCTGTCGCGCCTATTGCGTCGTCCGGTCTCTTTATCGTTGAAGTTGGACTCCAAGTGGCTCATTACGCTCTCGATTTTTTCGTTATTAACGGCAGTAGCATCCCATCGAGTGTGACGGCTATGGTGGCGACGACTTTCAAGGAAAATCTCATCTTTGATAGTATTATATATGACACTTCCCTTCAGTACATCTTAAGTAGCTGTTCATTTCACACCGCCATGCTGCCCGCACACCAGGACATGGCGACTGCGGTGGCCAACCTCGTCCACTACTACCCCTCCCCACCCCCCAAGAGCACGAGTGTCGCCGCGGCCTACCACATCACCGATCCACGCCTTGTGCAGTTGCGAACTCTGCGATCAAGTGGAAAGCAACGCCATGAGCGGACTCGCGCTGGGGGGTCGACCCCCGCGGCCAGCCAGCGCGCCTTTATGGTGCTGCAGCCGGAGAAGGGCCGGACGCTTGCTCGGGGGGACCCCCCGCGGCGCTACCTCTACGCCGGCCTTATTCACTGGGATACCGCGCAGCTCTTCGTGTTCGTCACGACGGAAGAGGAGGGGGTCGGGGCCCGCGCGAGGGGATCACACCGGCGTGACGTCGCCGCCCTTGTCACGGACGCCAAACGGCTGCTCCTCCAGCAGCTGTTGGAGAGCACCCAACAGGAACGGATCGATGCGGCCTGGGAGAAGTTCCTCTGCAAGCCCGGCGACGTCTCCGCCCGGTCGACGGATTACGACGACCTGGAGCTGATCCTGTATCACTCCCAATGCGTCATCGCGTCGTACTACGTGGCGCGGGTGCAGCTCTTGCTGGGGCCAATTGTCCTCTCCGGGGATCTTGAGGCGCTTTATTATGTCTGTCAAAGGGGTTTTCCTGACCATGTGTTGCGAGTGCTCTGGAGACCCATCGCTCCAGAGGCGGCGTCTTATGCGAATGATCAGGGCGGTGATTGCGGGTATTTTACAAACCCAACCACACGGAGAGTTTCATCATTGTCTGTAGCGGACATGGAAACGCTATTTAATCCGGAAAGAAACCTGGCGAGACTAATTTTGACCTTTGCTCCGGACAACCCTGAGGGCAACTTCTTTCTGGCGCTGGAATGTCAGTCCACTTCGACAGTCGACAACCCGTTTATTGTGGAGTCTTTGTCGTTCTATAGGCGACTATCCGATACATTGCCAAGATTTTCACCATTTTTGCCCATAATGGATGAAGAAAACCGTCTTATTAAGATATTTATTTTATTACTTACCCACACGATGCAATTTGCTGTTATGAGGTCGCCGTTGCAGTATCTGTAGTATAATCAGCTCTCCCCTAGTGTGTTATTTGAAAATCATTACTATTTTTTTTTTATGGTACTTGATAAGAAACAATCGAAAGACTAGGCAAGGGAAAAGACGAGTTCTTTCTTATCCAGAGCTCTGTTGAGAAAAGGTGCTAGGATTTATATTTTCACCAATCAAAAGAAAAAATACTCCGTACTGTTCTTATGTTTTCTATTATTTCTGATTCCATTCCATTCTAGATTAGACTTTATATTTTTTTTTCTAGCTCTCAGAAAATTTCTACACTCTCGCAGGTCACATTGTTTCTTGACCCATATTGATTGCCTCATATCAACTTTAGCTTTTCATTTATCATCATGCCTCGTGAACTCGTGGTACCAGAAAAAGAATGGGTCACTTTTGGCTATCATCCATCCTTTACGATCGACCTCTCTCCGCTAAATTCAGAAGCAAAGGCGCTAGCATCAATTGGGTTGGCGGGATACATCCTTTACTATCCAAACACTGGTGAGATTTTCGTAGAAATTTTAAATCCCAATTCAGGCATATTCATCAATGGGGAGCGAATAAAGTCTAACACTTATATTTCCGTGAGTCCCGGATCTATTCTTTCATTTAAAGGTGACAAAAAAAAAATCCTCAATTTCAAACTTGTCCTGGATAAACCTCCTTCGTCGAAAATTCCTTCAGCAGATAACGAAGATTCTTTATTAACCTACAAGGGGGACAATGAAGCTGTTGCATCGCGTAAAATATGTCGACGCAGGGATCCTTATGGGACCAGTAGCAGCGAAAATATGCTGTTGAATGGGAAAGACACTGGACAGGCTACATGGCACTCTGCGATGAATACGGTACTAACCGATCCAGAGTTCAATACCGTTTCACATAGAAGGCCAGCTCGTGCTATAGCAACGCGGCAGGCATTTAAAGACAATCAAAGTAATCAAGGCAGCTCATTTAGCCCATTGACTGCCAGGTTTCTCAAATCACTTAGTAACACTGCTTCGTATGTGGCTTCATCTCAGACTTCAGATGCTGACCAGGAATTGAAGGAAGCGCAAGTCTACCAAACGTCCTATTTAACGGACAACCCAACAAATATCGTCGATTTGGCTACTCAATCGACCCTGCCGCCCTCAATAAAGCACCCAGACCCAAACAAGGAGCCGTCCTTATCTTCAGGTTCAATTTCTTCTTCCTCGTCAAGAACTGAGAAGGACCGAAAGAATGACACTTTACCCTCCCGCTTTTTGATCACCCCTTTTGTTATAAGCCAAGGCCCTCAAAGGACCGAAGAGGTACCTCTATTAAGACTTTCTGCAATGTCTGCTAAAGACCCCAAAAGGTTAGAACGCCATTCGGAAGTGTACTATCACGTCATTTCTAGCCGTTCCGTTAAATTGGTAGAGAGTGAATCCGTGCCTCAATGGTTATCTATCTCGTCGTCGGTGAAGGCAGCAAAACATCTGATAGATCGCATTCTTAAAGTTGGCATCAAAGATGGAAAAGTGGAGGCATCTACAGAACTGGTGACGCCTTTCACGATTGATTCCGTGAAGGCAGGAATCTTGCGAGATTTTGAATCCGTGGCATTACGTCTCAAGCATGTGCTGCGGAGCAAACCACTCGTACTGAGGCTGTCCTCACCCATATTTGCCTGCGGTGATCTTAAGGGTGACTTAAATGCCTTACGACGCATTTATGGGTCGGCTACCTTTTTGAATCACTGGTCCGCGACTAATGTGCCGGTACTCTTTCTCGGAGACTACGTCGCTTATAGTACCACAAACCTTGAAGTTATCGGTTTACTTTTTTCGTGGAGCCTACTGTGTCCAGGCGTGAACTTGTTGCGTGGAAGCAACGAGTTTCTGCTAGGCAATGATCGAGTTGTACATGGGGTGTTGTTTGATAATATGCCATCCGAATACACGTTGCTGCAGCAGTGTAGGTATTGCTTTGGCGAAAATTCTGGACGTTCGTTGTGGTCGACAATTAAAGATGTCTTGAATACGTTGCCTTTGGCGGCTGTTATCGATGGTAAAGTCTTTGCTTGTCATGGTGGCATTCCCCTACTGAAAAAGGACAAAAAGTGTAAATTTGTGCCGCATTCCCGCACTTGCAGCACTAAGTTAGCTGCAGTTTCCCATCCTTTTCTATACTATTCTGAATCCAGATGCGGCTGTCAGGATAGCCTCATTAAGGAGGGGCCCTGCCGATTCGTGCCATCCGAGGGTCTTTTTGAGGAATTCCTTACTAGTAAGTGTTCAAGGAATTATTTTGAGTTCGAGGAAACCGATTTCAGGGAAGAAGATTCCCCGTATACCTCTGAATGTCGTCAATTGGTGCGAGAGCTTCTGGGGAATGGGCCAAGCTATTATTCCGTCTCTTCAGATAAATGCAAACGTAACTTCGAGGATTCTCAAGAAACATCATTCTCGGAAATATCTACATCTTCTCACAATATTGACGCTATAGACGATGGTGTATACTCCAATTTTACTGCTGATGAGCTTGACGGCTCTACCCGACAGTTCAACGGTTTGGCTCTAAAGCATTTTTTAAAGCGCTTCAAATTTTCACACTTGTTTCGCGCTCGGGGTAGCGGTTTCATTGATGATATTTCTTATGAAGGACGAATGATCAGCCTAACATCAGGCGGAGAGGCCCCTTACGGTTGTCGCATTGAGTCTGGCAGGATCACGTTATACTCCTTGAAGGAACCCTCTTCTTGCTATGAAAATTTGATCAATCCGTGGGATGGAATGAGTACCCTGTAGTATCAACTTAGGCATTGATAGTCTGAAGAATAACATTGACAAAGAAATGAATATTCAATTGCAGATATACGATATATGCGTTCATGTCTATAAGTGTAGCCCATACTTGAGGCTCTGCTTTCTCTGCCGGCTTTAGTGCCAATTAGGCCAATTAAATGTATAGGGGCCCTATTGTGTGATAACTTTCACCATTTGAACTGTTTTGCAACCGATATAGATAGGTCCACTAATCTTTTCACTTCATTTTGGTTTTATTTAACGTTTTTTATTTCACACAACTTATTAATGTATTTAAATTTGCAGCTTCAATAATGATGATTTGCTTTAAAATTTACAGATAATAGTTTTTTTTTTTTACAGTATCAAAGAAACTCTTTTTATTTTCAAAGAGTTCGTGATTCTTTATTTATATAGTCTAAAAGTAATTAGGTCGCATCATGCAGATCCATTCATGTCAGAACTTATTTTTAAATATCTTAACCGCTAAGATCTTCACGTTACTGCTTGGGGTATTTCGTACTATTTAAATATCCCCTTCACTGTATTCGAATTTTTTTTCCCTTGCATTATATTTTGTTCCATTTGTGGGTGTGTATGTGTATTTATGCCTACTCGGATACCCTCTCCATATTATTTATTTTGTTATCAACTTTTTATATTTTTGCTAAAGGTAGAGGAGAAACCTCGTTTGAGTGAAGTATATTCAGAAGTTTGGATAAGTTGGTTTATTTTTCGTGCCTTACAGAATCCTTTAAAGGCGTCGACCAGGGGAGCAGGCTTTCATTGCTAAGAATCAAAGGGCAAGCACATATATAAGTTTATCAAAATCTCAGCAGTGGGTAGCATATGGACAGTCACATCGCCCGCATATCCGTTGATACGGATGGGCGCCAACAGCAGCAGCAGGTATCAGCCGCAGCTTCGCATCCAATGCGTGAGGAACGCCACTTATCCATCTTAAAGGACATTCACGAACCTCCACCCTTCAGTAACAAGCCCGCGAGTGAAGATGTCGTGGAGCGTATTCTCAAGGCCACAGACCCGAATGTGCGATCGACGCCCGTCTATTTTGATTACAAAAAAGATGCCCGAATGTACAAGTTCTATCCGAGCGTGGGAGCTGTTGCCACACACCTTTCTCTTGACGGCCTAGCCATCCGAAAGGATTCCGCGGAGGCGATCCAGCAACAGGAGGATCGCGAGCGCCGACTGAGAGAAACGGAGGAGGCGGCAAAGGCTGAGCTGAACCCAGACCTGATCAAGGATGTTGTCTCTACTAGGATTCTCAAAAACCAGTTCAACTATAGCGATCGCGGCAGTCAGACGATGAACAATCCTATCAAGAACCGTTCAGTGATAACCGATCCACCTCCGGCTATTTTATTTGGTGCGATGGCTACTGCGTGGGCCATTTACGACGCCTATGAGGCCGACCGCCAGCAGGCTGAGAAGGCATCCGCGTTGCAACGCAAAGCGGCCTCGGGGCACCGCACCGGTAAGGATGAGGACCCCACGCTGTCGATCACAGGGAGCGCGGCCGGTGCAAATGTCGAGGATGACACCACCAGCGCCTCCAGATCAAGTTTCAATGTCATGAAATCCAAAGCTTTTGCCGGCGCACTCAAGATTATGGAGCGAATGGTGAACCAAAACGATTGTTTCGACATCATAGATGACTTCAAGTTCTGGGAGGATCAGAGTGATCTGTATAAGGAAGAGGGCACGTTGTTGCCGCTGTGGCAATTCTACACCGAGCGTTCGCGGAAGCGCGCTGTTACGAGTATCGCTCAGAGCAACCAATACAGCGACTTCTTCGCGGTAGGCTACGGAAGCTACGACTTCCAGAAGCCGTGCAAGGGAGGCATTCACTGCTTTACCCTCAAAAACGCCGTCCCGACGATCTCGGGGAACTCCCCGTCCGCCCATCCCGAGTTCAGCTTCAATATTGAAAGTGGCGTTTTATCTCTTGCCTTTCATCCAGTACATTCACATCTTCTAGCATGTGGACTTTTCGACGGTTCGGTGTGCGTGTTTGACCTCCATATCAAGGACGATCCGCGACACCAGAAGCCTATTTACAGCGCCACGGTGCGAACTGGCAAGCATACGGAGTCTGTGTGGCAGCTCTATTGGTTGGATGATCCGACGGTTCTATCCTTTAACTCCATCAGCACGGATGGCCGCCTCACCAACTGGCAGCTGCACAAGAAGGAATTGGTATCAAAGGATATCATGTCGCTGAGCTCCGATACCGTCGCGTTGGATCCAGAGGGGATGCTTCTGAACCACCTCGGGGGGATGTGCATGGATCAGTCCCCGGTTCACGGGCAGATGGTCGTGGGCACACAGGAGGGCGTCGTCATGCTCTGCACCACCACTAACGTCCAGTACTTAGAGCGTTTTGAGGGCCACAACATGGCAGTCTACACCGTCCGCTGGAACCCCTACCATCCAGACGTCTTTATCTCCTGCTCTGAGGATTGGACGATTAAGCTTTGGCTCAAGTCCTCTTCGAAGCCGTTGTTGACATTTGATGTGGGCGACGCAGTTGGGGATGTTGCGTGGGCGCCTTACAGTGCCACAGTCTTCGCAGCCGTCACATCGAATGGAAAAGTGATCGTGTTTGATCTCAACCAAAATAAAACGGAGCCGCTTTGCGTCCAGACGGTCGTAAAGAATGCTAAACTCACTCACGTGGTATTTAACAGGGTGAACCCCATATTGTTGGTGGGTGATTCCCGTGGTACCGTGCTGGTACTGAAGCTTTCTCCTAACCTTCGTAAGCGAGCCAAGCCGGATAAGGGAGAGTCCAACGACGCAGCCACGCTGCGACGCTTAGAGATGGAGAAGTTAGCTCGCTTAATTGACATCACGCTGAAGGATCGAATATTGTTGGGAATGGCGTAGCGTCTTTATGCATTTTTTACATGTAACTTTTAGACACCGGAAGTGCTTGGGGGGTATCACCATATCTTTATTGATATAACTCATCTCAAGCACCAATGGATTTTCCAAAAAAAAAAAAGAAAGGTGGTGGTGGTGGTGTGGTGATGGTGGGAAGTGGCTTCCTGCGATATTTCGATCAACGCCGCGTGAAGCACAAAAGTTTTTCTTCTGATCAAGTTAAACTCCTTTCCCCCTTAGCTTTTTTATTATAGATCAGGGAGGAGGAGTAATTTGCCTGAATTTCGTCCTCTTGCACTGTGAGTTGTATATTTGTAAACAGGCAAAATCAAACACAGTCCAGATATTGAGTCTAGCATCTAGGCTCTAGCACTCCAAATGAGCATGCACTTCTGTGCATCTTAATCATCGATGTATTTATTTCATTTGTTCAGGCTCTGATGCTTATGTAATTTGAAGAATGAAACATTTTTTCCTTTTTGTGGCTGTGATATATGAATTAATGCAAACAGTCATCGCTAGTGATGCAAAACTGTGTGTCTTCTTACCTTTCTATGATTTATTCATCACTTTTTTGTTATTTTTGGGGTTTCTTTGTTTCAATTACTTTTTTCAGTAGGGGGATATTATTTTTACTGAATCCGAAGGTTTTATCTTGGGATTACCAAAGTATTATACGTAGATTCATTAGAACGATATATTAGTTAAAAAGCCTCGCTTTTATATTTATATATCTTACAGAGGACCTTGATATTATTTTCTCTATTCACTCATCACATAGAGCAACGGGGGTAAATAAAAGCGGCACCCCGCTCCTTACAACTATCTACATACCTACGCTCGCAGACTACAAATTCAGAATCAATAATAACTTTAATAAGGGTAACATACTTCCTAACACATAGCAAGTACGTGAGTACCCGTACATAGAAACATAAGTAATACGTTCATTTTCGTGGAAAAATTTCGGAGCACACCCCGTAGAAAGCGTCATTTCCATTTCTCAAAGAGACACTACAAATCATGACGTCCATTGAAGTCCTGAGCGAGAGCAGTGGCGACTCCCTTACTAGTATCCAACGCCTATGGAATAACAGGCTGGGACCATGCCGTAGTTTGCCAGTAGATGCCACATCAACGGCGATGATAGCTAAGTATACCTCCGAGATGGCTTTCACCCCATCGTCGTTTTCTAGTCATGCCGGATTGACTGATAGCTTGGGTTCTTCCCGTAAGGCTTCCGCGATATCCGAGGTAGCCACCAGCACGCAGACCGACCTACGCAAGCGTGCCCACGAGGTGGGGGCTGATCTCGTCATCTCACCCTGCGTGAGGCGCCGTTCCGCCTCACGGGAGCGCGAAGTTTCCGATGAGGTCATTGCCGGTAGGCTACAGGAAGTGCTGGTGGAGAGCCCGCGCGTGTGCAAACCCCTCTTCTCCGCCTTCCTCCTTCAGGGCTTCGATCCGGATGAGGCGCTACCGGCCCTGACGTTGGTTCTCGACTTGGACGAAACGCTCGTGTGCAACCGCAGCCCCCACGCGCAGCGCCCGATCCTGCGGCCCTACGCCCTCCACATGCTCAACGCGCTCCGCCACATGGTGGACCTCGAGATCGTCCTCTGGACGGCCAGCACGAAGGAGACGGCAACGCGAGTAGTGCAGCGTCTGCACTCGAACGGCATCATCTTTGACGATGTTATTTTCCGCAATAACCTCTGGTTTACAGAGCCGGTGTACACCAAGGACCTGCGGCTGCTGGGCCGCGATATGGATAAGGTAGTCATTGTGGATAACGCCGCTAACAGTTGTAAGCTCAACCCACGCAATGCGCTACTGATCGAGGACTTTCATGGCCACCGTGATGCTGAGGACGCGGCGTTGGTGAACGTCTACTACGCCGTCGATGCGCTTCTTAGGATGGCTAAAGATGGAATATCTGTGAGGGACGGATTGACCAAGCTAGCGGAAACCGGCCTCCTTTGCCACGAGATATCCATACCTATTCCTCCCACATGGAAGAACATGCCCCTGTCGTCGATCTCACCAATTAAACTTCCACCTTTTGGGAAGTTTGTAAAGTCCAACACGAAGCCCCCATCGCGATCCATAATGGGGTATTGGACTTTTTAGAACACAATCATTCACTCTCAGATTACTCCCCCCTCTCCCTTACTTATCTTAGTATCATCGACGAAACATTGATTGAAAAACAAGCCAAGAAAAAATATCGTCCAAAAAATGTCAAGAGTGTTCTACATTTTTCTTAATTTACTATTTAAGGGTCATATCTCAATATATTTTGTTAATGCTTTGGCGTCTACACACAATTTTAATTCCCATCTGAAAAGGTGTGAGCCATTTGACATAGATGTTTTTCTCTTTTGTGTTGTAAATAACGCATTTTGGCTTTTGAGATAGCTCTCAAGATTTTCATTCTTAGAAACTACAACCTATCTGTAGGCACCCCTCCCCCCCTCCCCTGAAAAAAAAGAAGATATGATATAGAATGTATTTGAATGGAAAAAAATTTTGATACCTCAGGTATCAAGGCAGATATAGCTTTACGAGCGTTTGTGCAATCTTCTGATCCAATTGGAGGTCTCGAGAATTAGTTTTATTCATCATAGAAATTTTCTTAACTGCGTTCTATAAGAATTATTTTCACATCACTATTAACATGTTTTCATGTTCCTATGTGTGAGCCTGTCTATATCACTTTTTAATGGACTTTATATTTGTGCTTTTTCCTCTATGTATTGTTTTAATAGATACACTTTTTTATCATGAATGTAACTTTTGAATTATCACATCTTCCACGAGATCTGACTCGTTGTAGAAAACTTACAACCAGGTGATGGAGGGATTCCACCTATAGTAGAATGTAATCGGAGCCCTTTCCGAAGCTTTTCCTTTATCTATATCTCTTTTTGACATTCATATCTTTCTTTCCTTTTTCCCACTGCATTTTTGTACATTAGTCCCTTGAGTAAAGCTCCCTGCTTATAGTATTTGTGCGCCTCTCTCTTGAATTATTAACTTCCTCCACATAATTACTTAGTCTTCTTCTGTTTTTGTCTTTGTAGCCTGGGGTAACCTTTTCATTCGCATTTCTTGAACCTTCTCTTGGAATGCCCCCTCGAAAACCTCGATCGGCGCAGAGCCTTGCCGCTGGCAAAAGTATCCCAGAAGGCGTGAATGACTTCCTTGGAGGATTTTCAGTTATGGCCGAGAGAAGCCAGGCGTCCCACGAGCACGGTGTGATTGCCGTTAATCTGAGACTCATGAACAAGAACAGCGAGATTACAAAACAAAAGTCTTTATCAGAGCTGATTCGTCATGTCAAAGAAGCACCAAGCAGTGTTCTTACGCACTTTGCCATGGGAATAGCTGAGACTGTCATTCGGCATGCCCAAAGCGGCAATCCCACTATTCGGGCCTCAGTCTTTATGCTTCTGAAGGCGCTGATGGAGCGGGGGAAGGAGGTGAGGCTCGCCATCGTCTCGAGTCTACCCGCACTCTCACCAGTTTGGATAATGTCAATGAGCGAAATGGAGTTTGCTGTGCGTATGGAAGCCCAGGCGGCCTTTGAGTCGACCTTTAGTGCGGAAAAACGGCATTCAATGATGTTTCGGTATAAAGATGATATTCTCTCCGGGATACTTGAGGTAATAACTGATATCGTCGACAAGGACGGAACGCCGCTGCTCGACGACAGCCTTGATCGGCGCTCTAATTTACTGTTCTCCGCTCTTTCCGGCATGGGCTTCATGGTGAAGCAAGTCAGTGCATCTCAGGTTACGGTGATGTCGTTTGTGCTCGAGAATCCGGAGTTCGCGCGTCTTTTGCCATGCCGACCACCTAAAAAGGGTTACATTCTTGCCAAAACGCCCCTTGTGCGCTCCTCGGTGCTTTCGTTGTTGCGTGATGTCGTGACGGTGTGCCCATGCACGAACAAACTACATAAGCTTGTTTCACAGGCCATGCACGGTTCGATCCTAGAGAAGGATGCAACTATTGCTTCCCGTGTTTGGGAGCTCCTACTGTTTTGGTGCCGTATCAATGTTAACGAGGTACTCAATAATATCTCTCCAAAATTTTTGGATGACATCATTGACAGTTTCATGTCTTGCGACCAGCAGGACCTGGCGGAGGTTATCTTTCCTTCTCTGCTCCCACTGTTGATCCAGCTCACCACCGAAAGGCGCTGTGATGAGGTGCTGGACGAGTTCGTTGCGGCGCTGCTGGAGAAGATGCGCCAGCTAAAGGACACCCCTAATGTGAGCGCGCACGAACTCGAGCTGGTCTTTTCCGCCTTGACAGAGTGCTGGGGGCTTTACTGTGTTCGGAAAAAAGGCGATACGACGTGTGAAGATGCCACTGAGCTCTTTGGCTCCATAATGAAATGCCTTACGGACATCCTAACCAACGATTCGAAGCGCATACGCTACTTGAAAGTGGTGGCTCCATGCCTAGGCTTGAGTCTGCTGAAGATTTCACATAACGAGCGCATCTTCAAAGCATGCATGACAATATTGTGTGACATACCTTCCTCTGACTCCTCCAATCATCAGGATCTAACGCTACCCGCTGGTGTGAGTGAGATTCCTCTCAACAGCAATTGGCATTTACGCTCCGCTGTTTTAGAGTCGATGTACGCTAAAACAGTACACGATGCGAGATACACCGTACAGCAGAAGGTGATGAGTGGCTATTTAAACTCGACCATCCCGCAGATGCTGCTGCTTCGGGGCCATACCGCGGGGCTTCCTGAACTGCTCTTGGAGGTCACCAAGAACGGCTATAAGCCCTCGCACGAAGTCGCCGAGGGTGTGATTCACTACTTAAGTAACTTAATGAAGACGTTAGATGAGCAGGCGGATCGCATTAGGAATGGCCTCACCACGACGGTGTCGTACGAAGAAATGACCGAGCACTGCCGAAGTTTGATGGAGACCGCACTCCTTTGGGGAATTCCAGCGATCACAGACTTACTTTTGGAGGAATGCAAGTCTGTTCACCTGGAGGTGGTGCAGCAAACCATCATGGATTACCATCTCAAGGATCCCGTCAAGGCTTTTGATCTGCTTATTGTAGCCTGCAAGACAAACTCGTTTGACGATATAGAGAACTGCATCTCCCGATTGAACGTGCCGGACACGGGGCTGACGCCCGAGCAGCGCCCAGCGCTTCTTGAGGCGGTCGTTGCTGCACTTGAGGGCATGCTGCGACTGGTAGAAGGTTTGGGAGAAGAACTCGACTCGGAGGATGACAGCAGCAGCAACTCCGATGCTGAGCGAACCAAGGGACCTCGATTCTCAGCAAAGCAAGAGAATGAGTATGAAAATTCAAGTGTGTACTCAAGCGACTCCAGAACATGTGAGGAAAGCTCAGACGATGATAATGATGCCTCACCAAACGGATCGCCTGTCGATGCGGGTTCAAACACTATGTTGCCTTCTGAGGAAGGGGATACTGCCGATGAGAGCGACTTGGATGCACAAAACAAAGCGAGCGAGGTCCTTTATGTAGTTTCTCATTGGTGCGAACAGCTATCCATCGGTGGCGACATTGGTTCACACAAGATGGAAAAAAACATTGGCACCCTCCTTTTCCTCTCCGCGGACGTCTTCACGAAGCGTATTTCTGAGCTGCTCTATCGCCTAGTAGCTGCCGTCGCCCCGAGGTTGTATCCGGAGGATTATATCTCAATCAAAGCTCTTCGCGTCGTCTTGCAAAATCAGCAGAAAATGAATGACAACAATGGTGTGGTCGACAAGCTTACGGACGCACTTGAGGAAAAGGTGCACTTCCTTCGAGTGAACGATTTCAACCTCCTCGTAGCGCACGTAGCGGCCTTGCTGGATGACCTGGGGGTTCCTCAAACAGACCGCGATGATTTCGCGTGGAAGTTTCTAATCGCCACTCTGAAGTTCGAGGAGCCAGCGTGCTACTATGCGGTTCATCAACTTCAGTTTTTGGTACCTTTTGCCTCTGAGGCACTTCTCCAGCGCCTGGTTCAGCTCCCAGAGTTATGGGAACTGTTTAGCGTCTCGCGGCAGTGCAGTGGGGATAAAAATTTGGAAGGAAGTTTTCGCTCCCTTTTTGGTGGGTACTTTTCACTTTCGGAGTTGGATCTCTCACTCACAGCTGTCGTTCGCACTGCGCAATTACTACGGCTGTTGGATTACAGTAACTGCGTAGGTGTATGGAATGAAAGCGCCTCTTCTACTGAAATGCAGATTCGAACGAAAATATGCTATCGTTTGATTGTGGCTGCCAGTTTGACGGAGACCTTTTCGTCAGGTATTCGATCTATTCTCTTTTCTCGATTGCTGCCCAAGGTCCTTGGGTGTATTAAACCCCTCGCCGACTTGCTTATTGATTCCTCCCTCTCAACTCCTATCAGGGAGAAGGCGGGTGAATCTAGGGATCCTTTTGTGTGCACGTTGGCTGCGGCACTCCGAGATATGGCAAAGAATACGGCTGATAGCACGCACCTTGGCTTTATTCTCCAGGCACGCCGTGTGATGAGTGCAGTCACGGAGCGCATCATCAAGAAGCTTTTTACCAAGGATGGTGCGCGGGGAATCGAACACGATTGTTGCGTGTTTTACACTACCTTCTACGCCATCATGGACCAGACCGCGAATCTGGTTGAGGACAACATTTTCGCTCAGGTGCCCAAAGACCTCGAGGCGCTCTTCATGGAGGCGAGCTGCATGCTGCCGAGCTGGGATCTCGATACGTCGAAGCTTTCTCTGGTCGTTCATCGGCATCTCGCCACGATGCCCGTTGTCTCCGCGAGCACGGTGAAAAGCATCCTAGACTACGCGCAGCGGCAGAACCCGCTTCACTGCCTGGAGTTACTGGCGGAGCTCTCCTGCACTCGCATCTTGGATCTGAACATCTTTGGCGACCTCGTGCGCGTCATCACGCACTCCCTCTGCCGCTGCTACACCCTCCGCCATCTCCCGAGCAACGGGCGGTTGCCGGTGGAATCTCCCGAGCGCCCCTCCGCGCCGCTGCCTTTTCATCTCCTGCAGCGAATCGCGGTGGCGGCGGTCCTCGCGCGGCGCGGCGTCATCCTCCACAGCTACATGGAGGACGTGCTGCGGAGCACAGTGAACTTGGTCATCTTCGACGCCGTCTGCGAGGCGGTCTCGCGACTTCAGACGACGAGTGGGGTGGAAATCCCACTCCTCGCGAAGCTCATCGCCTTCACCTCGGAGTTTATGAGTACGCTGCTGCATAACGATGCGTCCGTGCTGCGGGCGTCCGATGCGAGCGTCACCGTCATCGCCTCGGCGCTCTCCTACGTCTATCTTTGGCTTAGCGCGATGCCCATTGCGAGGATGGAGGGGATTGGCCATGACGTGGTTTCGGGAGTTCTCTACACGGTATGCCTCCTGGCCAACCTCACGCTCGTGCGCACGCGTGCGCCTTTGCATGAAAAGATGCGACTAATTCTAAATAAGTGGTCTTTGAAGCCCCTTCGCCACGAATTCACGTCGGCGTCTCCTCTGAAGCTCTCCCACTTGCGTCGCCAAAACACCCTTATCTGTAAGACTTACAAGCAACGGCTGCTCATGTTCCCTTATCTCCTGGCGTGGTGTGTCGTGCTGACGACACCCGCAACCGATGAGGAGACGCTCCGTCTGTCGGACAACCAGGGCTATAAGCAGTGGAGAGGGGACGTTTGTCGGCTTCTCGATCTCGTATGCGTCCTGCTCCTGACGCCCTTATTTAGTGGAGCAAAGCGGGTCGAGGATACCCTCCTGGGTGTACCCTCCTCCACTGCGAATGACGGCGACTCCACCAGTGCGGAGGCTGGGGCGCTCGGATTCGAAGTGGTCGCCCTCACCCGTGTAACGTCGCCTCAGCCGATGATGCAGCTCGCGAGTGGCGCCGCGGCGGTGTTTGGCCTCCTCCTGCGAGGGTCCACTCTTTCCCTGGTGAAAGGGTGGCTTGAGACCGTCGAGCGGAAGACGCAGGTAATGATATATAACTTTGTGCAGCTTTACATCTCACCCGTACTCATCCATGAAAACTTTCTCACGGTGCTGAGCCACAGTCCAGACGGATCGAGCACCTTTACCATTGGGGAAAACTACTCCGTTTCTGTGAGGACAGCTCAAAGAACCATCGATCTCAGCTACGCCATCGAGGATGCATGTATATCGGTGCGCATTCGCTTTCCGTCTTCTTATCCGCTACGGCAGCCCGCTGTGGAATTCACCAGTGGCCGAGAGTGCGGCATATCGATGGAAAAGCGGCGAAGGTGGATGCTAAAGATGACGTCGTTGCTTTTCAGCGAGCTGACGAACCTTTGGGATTGTATGGAGCTCTTCCGGGAGAACGTCGAGGCCCACCTTGGTGGGCAGGAGCCTTGCCCGATTTGCTACGCCGTCGTGAGTGCCGTCAATCACAAGCTGCCGGACCTGCAGTGCTCGGTCTGCCGGAATATGTCCTTTCACTCTAGTTGTCTCTACAAGTGGTGGGCGAGCGGGGGGCAGACGGTTTGCCCGCTTTGCCGCTCGCCGTGGATATCAGAATGAGTGCAGCCGGTACAAACCTCGTTCTTCTGTACTATTCCCACTTGCTCGTGTTTTTTTTTGTTTGTTTCTGATGGAACCCTCCAAAAGGCAAATGGACAATTAGATGTTCTTGCAGAGTAATCATCCTCATTACATTCCTCGCAGTACGACGGTACTCTGTCTCTATCTTTCTAAGTTTATCAATCTTTTCCTTCATTGCAATCCTATATTAATAATAAGAAAGTGTTGAGCCTTTTTTAAATGCTGTGCATTACTAAACATTAAAGAATAATACATGGAGTCTGATAAAACTGCATATGTCTTATGCATGCCTGCGTTTACCCCCACTTCATGGAGTTTGTACGAAACGCACACTCGTTGCACGTCTATTTTTGAATTCTCATGTGTAGTTTCATATGAATGCCGCTGTAAACTTGTATGCGTGTGTGTGTTTGTATACATGTGTGGATGCATGTATATTTATATTGAACTCCTTTTTCTATTTATTTACGATGTACTTGTTCTTGCCCTTTTAGGTGCTTTTAATATTTAGCTGTTTGATCATTAATCACAACTTGAGAACCTCTAGATCTGCAATATTCAAAAGAGTACTGAAAGAAATAAGTATCTGATATAATAATCAGGTTTAATTTAGCACGTTTAATTTTATTACCATTATTTGTCATTTGATCGATCTTTTCGCATTAGAGCACTCAAACCAGATATAAAAAAAATAGAACAGTCCGAAATGCCAATCCCGAGGATTCCAGAACGTTCCCTCGCCTCGCACGTACCGAGTGAAAGCACCTACCACCCCAGTCGAGGGGCCATGTCCTCGCGGCAGAGTATCATGAATCGCGGCACTCTCAACATCTTCTCCGGGGAATGCACCAAAGAGGCAACGGACGCCGTTGCCGAGACGAATGCCCGTCGTATGACGCGCTACTCCTCCGCCAACCTTCTTAGCGGACGGCATTACCACAATCGCGAATCCAACGAGACCCGCGAGTTCCCCCCTGCCTGCATCCGACACGTGCAGCCCCCATCCCACACCGCCCGCCCGCAGGGCATCAAGCACGTCTCCAACGCCGCGGGGAATAAACAGCAGGTGCAGATCGTCAACCTCACCCGGGCCTACGTGGACCCGGCGAATATGACGCCGCCCCGCGCGTGCGTTCGCTGCGTCCGTGGCAAAGGCTACTCCGAGGAGATGAAGTCCATCCTGGCCTATCGATCCCTCGGGGAGAATCAGCTCAAAGGGTCTCTTGCGGGCACACCTCTAGGGAAGCCGCGGCCGCGGGAGGCCCGTCGCGTCATCGACTACACTCGACAGGAGAACTTCCTTAAGTCGGTGTGTGATCACGTGCAGCAGCGAGTGGGGGGGATCGCGGGGTTTTACGTCCTCCTCGCGCGCGGCGCGGTGGGGGAGGGGGTTTCTACGCACCCTGTGGAGGCTTCGCCGTCAGATGGGGAGGACCGTCGCAAGGGGGGCGTGCTGACATTGGGCAGGTGCAGGGATCAGCTGATCCGGCTCATCGGGATCCCTGTCACCCTGCTGGAGCTGGCGGATCTTGTGTGGGGCCCAGGAGGGCCCAAAGACCTTGCTAGCTTGTCAGAAGAAGGCCTTGAGTCGTTACAAATTCCGTTTAAGGACTTTGCTACCGCCTTCGGGACCCACTTGTTCGGGAGACGTCTTCCGGAAAGGAAAATTAGACCTTAAGCACAGCATACGTAGATATTTACACATAGAAACGCGGCTACATGCGTATATATATTTTCATAAAGGGATGAAATGATAAAGGATGATAGAATGGAAGACAATATGATGGGTTTTATGCGTTTTGCGCATAAACCTTGGATAAGGATGCAATATTGTCATTGCTTACATTGATGATACCGTGGTCTACCCTCAAATACGGAAATCCTAGGAGGAGAATGTGGTAGCCCTAGATGCCTAACAAAATAAATTGATGTAGCACATTGAAAACCCTATCTGAGCCTTACTTTGCCCACCTCTTTCTTTACTCATTTTGCTTAAACGCTTTATTTTTGCTATTAGCTTGATATATGGTTATTATTTTACGGAATCTAGACAATTAGTTTTGTATCATCAAAACCAATTCGGAAATTTTAGCGAATATAGGCATCCCATTTTATCATCTAGAAATAAATGATTCGTTTCACATTCACTCGGTTAGGACCAAAGTTCAACTACGTCCCACTCATACCCAAGGTAGGCCATAAGGATACTAGATACCGTCTCCTGACTAAAGACTACGTGTCTGTCTTGAAACCTGGTAATGGATTGCCTGATATCCTTAAAGTAGAGCCGCAGGCTATTAGCTTACTGACTTCCACGGCATTTGACGACATCGAGCACCTACTACGATCCTCGCATTTGGCGTGCCTGCGCAGAATTTTCGACGACCCAGAGGCAAGTGACAACGATCGCTTCGTCGCCTTGCAATTGCTCAAGAACGCGTGCATTTCCGCGGGACGTATTCTACCAGGCTGCCAGGATACGGGCACTGCCATCATCGCGGGGTACCGCGGCGAACAGGTCTACGTTCCAGGTGATGACGAGGAGGCGATTAGCCGCGGTGTCTTCGATATATTCCAACAACGTAATTTACGATTCAGCCAAGTCGTCCCTACCGGAATGTTCGACGAGAAGAATACCGGCACTAACCTCCCTGCCCAGATCGATTTATATGCGACCAAGGGCATGGAGTACTCCTTTTTATTCGTCGCCAAGGGCGGTGGCTCGGCGAACAAGAGCTTTCTTCTACAGGAAACCAAGTCTGTGCTAAACCCCAAGTCTCTGCGCAAATTCCTGCAGGAGAAGCTCGCCCTGTTCGGCACCTCGGCCTGCCCTCCTTACCACGTTTCCGTGGTGATTGGTGGGACCAGTGCCGAGACCACGCTGAAAATGGTGAAGTACGCCTCCTGCCACTACTACGACGACCTCCCGGTGAAGCCGGACCTCACGACGGGCTATACCTACCGCGATCTCGCGATGGAGAAAGAGGTGATGGAGATCTGCCGGCAGATGGGAATGGGGGCGCAGTTTGGGGGAAAGTATTACGCCCATGACGCGCGGGTGATTCGAATGCCACGGCATGGGGCGTCCTGCCCGATTGGCATCGGCGTCTCCTGCAGTGCCGACCGCCAGGTCTTGGGGAAGATCAACCGGGAGGGCGTCTGGCTGGAGCAGCTGGAGGTGGACCCCGCGAAGTACCTCCCCGGGGTCACCGAGAAGGAGCTGCTGCAGACCCCACCCGTCGAGATCGACCTGAATCAGCCGATGAAGGAGGTCCTCGCGATGCTCTCGCGGTACCCTGTCAAAACTCGGCTCAGCCTCACGGGAACGATTGTCGTCGCGCGGGATATGGCGCACGCCAGGATTCGCGAACTCCTGGAGGCGGGGAAGCCGATGCCGTCGTACATGAAAGACTACCCGGTCTACTACGCTGGCCCTGCAAAAAAGCCGGAAGGGGTGGCGTCGGGGTCTTTTGGGCCGACCACTGCGGGGCGGATGGACATCTTTGTAGAGCTCTTTCAATCCCACGGCGCCTCCATGATCATGCTCGCGAAGGGGAACCGGAGTGCGATGGTGACGGAGGCCTGCAAGAAGTATGGCGGCTTTTACTTGGGGAGTATTGGTGGCCCCGCTGCGGTGCTCGCTCAGGATTGCATTAAAAAGGTAGAAGTATTGGATATGGAAGAGCTAGGGATGGAGGCGGTTTGGAAGATCGAGGTGGAGAATTTTCCAGCTTTCATCATTGTAGATGATAAAGGAAACGACTTTTTTGCACCGCCTAGGAAGAGACGATAGTATATCATCTATTTCTAATACTAATGATCAAAACATCCTTAGTATCAACAAGCTTGTCACAAAACTAATTTAACTATAGGCTAAACAACTACTTGAATGTGTGAATATCGATACTTTTTAATTTATGCATATATCATTGAGTTCAGAATTATTTTCGAGTTGTTGGTTATCTTCTGATATAGCTTACCCTTAAAGAGAAATATGATGAAGAAAAAACGAAATATTCTTTCTCTTTTATGTATCGTGTAGGAAAAATATCTATTTTGAGTGGAATAAAGCATGTTTGAAAACGAACTAACTACTGATATCCTTGTGGCAGAGTTTATACAATGGTATAAGGCTCGTAGTTATTCTTGGTCATTGTTATCCTGCCTATGTTAACATAGAGAGCTGTGTTCTTGTGGGAGTACTTGAGTTTTTTGTTCTCTTCACTCCATCATCCTCTACATGGGGAAGTTCAATCAGCATTTTCACGTCGCATGTGAAATCCACGCGTCCACAACCTATGTGGGACAGCAAACGTTGGAACAATATATTGGATAAATTAGCATAGGCTATAGTGTTTACATGAGTTAAAAAATAGTCACCCTTCTAGCTTTAGTAGTAGTAAATCTAGAGAAATTGTTTCGGTTGGTTTGATTTACAGGTTACTTGATTTGCACGTAATATTACTTATTTACTTCTCTCACAGTCTACAAAAACGGGGGGAGATGCACAGGATGTGTTCACAAACTTATACACTTACGTACTAACAAAACTTGGTTAATATTATTACTATTATTACTATTATTATAGGATTCTGTGGAGGGGAAGTTCCGTTTCACATTATTTTTTTCACTCTTTTTCTTCGCCTTGCGGGTAAAAAGCTTCCACAAAGAGATCTGGGTGTATTTTTCCGACTCTTTATTGTCCTCGACATGCACACCATCTCTTTTTAAATTGTTATTATCCCTTTTTCTGCATTCTTTTTTCTTAACGTGTGAGTCCTATTGGGCCGATCTTTCTCGATAACTCAGCGGCTTTTCCCTTTTCTTTTTATGAGCATTTTGCTGCGTATAGACTAAGACTGAACATAACTCTTGTTACCTTCGTTCTTATTAAATGATGCGTCGTCTTCCTAGTGGTTTGCTTGGCACGACTGCCACCCTTACTCGCTACTCTTGCGTGTCGCTCGTATCGCAGAGGACGGGTTACGCTCAAGTGCCTCTTGAGGGGGCGATGCATCAGCCTGGCGAGTCCGGGCTGGCCGCGGGCTCCAGCGCGACAATTGAAGGAAAGGAGACGTGGGGGCAGTTCAGCGCGAAGATGCGTTTTGGACGGCGCCGTATTCGCGTCATTGATATTGCCGCTAAGATGTCGTACGAGTATCAAGCGCTGAAAAAGATGTGTAAGAAGCGACCTGCTCTACGGCAGTGGTCTGTTCGGGACGACTTCTGTAATATGGACCCCGGAGTGGTTGTGATGTCTCCATCGATGCAGGCCGCCTTCATGAAAGTTTTCCGACTAAAGGATAAAGGTCTCATCCGGAGGTGCTTGCGAGATATCATCCCCATCATTGATTACCGTAATCGTGAAGAGCAGCCCTCAACTAAAATACGGGGTGAGGATATGATCCCTGAGGGCGAGCCGGACACCCTCAATCAAAAGAAAAGAGAGCTATTTGAGCGAAAGGAGAAGGGCGAAAATTTCAAGGACATGTACCTCCACGATAAGCGGTCCCAGGCTAAGCTCCGTTTTAAAATTCGGCAGCGGCTTATCAAATTTCAGCGCCAACTGGCCGTCGCCAACGCGGTCGCCAGTCGGACGGTGCTGTATTCGGCCGATGACGCCATCGGCTACTTTCTTTTCCGTGGCGCTGCGATGTACGCTGGCATGCATCGCGTTTTTTTCGAGCTTTCCAAACAGCTCCCCCATTTCGTGCCGAAAACGATGCTCGACTTCGGGACGGGCACCGGGACGGCGATTCTCGTCGCGAAGGAGGTCTACGATCCGGGGGCCTTAGCCTACCCGCTGTATCGCTCCCTTCGGCAGACGATGACGTGGAATGACAGCGCGAAATCGCACCAGTTGAGCGAGCTGCGATTTGACCTGAAGCGACTCGAGCGCAACAACGAGGAGAAGAAAAAGGCTCGTTTCATGGCGGTAGCGGCGCTTATCGAACGCGGCGAGGTGGATCCGGCGGACCTCCCGGCGGATCTACGGTCGGAGATTGCGGAGGTCGCTGCGAACGCGGCCTCGCGGAAAAAGCAGCGTCTCGCGCAGGAATCCCACGCCCGGCTGCGCGAAGTCGTCGACGGCACCGAGTGGGAGCATGGGGACCCTCTCGGCGAGCTCGCCGCCACCACGGAGCCCCCCCACAGTGTCTTTGAGGAAGAGCTTGGGTGGGAGAACGGGGAGGAGGGAAAGGAAAAAGGCGGCGAAGGGGGTGGCGGCCGGACGTGGTGGGAACGGCTGGTGGATTTGGAGGCAGGGGAGGCGCAGCAACGCGCACACCGCCGGCTTCGGCCGCTGCAGGAGGTCACCGCGATCGAGCCGAGCCCGGGGATGATGGAGATCGGAACGATGGTGCTGCACGACGATGTACCCAACGTGACGTGGAGGCGATATCTGTTGCCGGAGGATGAAACCATCTCGCACGACTTAATCGTTGCCGCTTACTCCCTGAGCGAGATCGCGCAGAGCGAAAACCGCCGCAAGCTGGTTCGGCAGCTGTGGAAGATGACGAAGGGTGTCCTTGTTCTCGTGGAGTTTGCTAACCTGAACAATTTCAACCTCCTCATGGAGGCGCGTGATGCGATCTTGGAGGAAAAGGGAGTGGGTTTGTGGGATTGGCAACCGACCATTGTGGCGCCCTGCCCTCACGAGCATCGTTGCCCTCTGCGGCACTCCAAAGTTGGTGTTAAACGGAAACGAATGCGCATCTGCAGCACCGAGGCGTATTATCGATCTACTTTTATCGAGTCCTGGGCCCGTGCTCTCCCGCTGAAGGTCGGAATCGAGCCCATCAGCTATGTAATCTTTGCGCGGAATGAGCTGGTCCCCGAGCGTGCGGAGCGCCGTGCGGTGGAGCTCAAGCAGAAGGAAGAAGCAGAGGTACGCGCACGTGATGAGAAGCAGCGGGAGTTGTACGAGGCGCAGCTCTCCGTCAAGGATGTGGTCTTCGAGCGAGTCAGTGATGAGGCTCTGCATCGCCCGAAAACCGGGGTTCCGCCCAAACTGCCGCCCCTCCCAGGGGCGGGTTCGAGCGCGGAAGGGGCGGGCGAGCTTTCCTCGGCGCTTGCTGCCGGCGCGACGAGCACCGGCGAGATCGGCCACATCCCCACTGACAAGCCTCGCCTCGTCAAAACGTCCGACCGGCGTTATAACAAACTCATCTTTCCGCTCCAGTACCCCCCTGCCATCCATCGCTACAACCGCGGCTTTGTAGATGCTGGATACCAACGCCAGCGGGCGATCAAACCGTCGGAGATGCTCGTCGTCCGGGAGGAGCTGGAGGATATGCGGCGTCGCGTTATGAAGGTCTCGCCGAAGTATCTTCGCGTGGTGCGGGATCCGACGTGTCGGGGAAAGATTCAGGCGCTTTTCTGCACCCCGGGTGGGGAGCTGATCAGCGGACGTGTCTACCGTCGCTTTTACGGCGACCGCAACCGCGTCAGCCGGCACAGCACGATGCGCTGGCAGCACATCGGCGGCTGGAAGCTGCTGAAGCGCATCCGCAGCGGATCGCTTTTCCCCCACGACGTCCCCATGTACGCGATCCACGTCCACCCGCAGGTCGACTTCCCCAACACCCTTCTCAACCACCGCCACTCCACCGTGGAGAAGACGGCGATGCAGTACAACGACGCCGTGGTCGAGGACGGCGAGGGCCTCACCCGGGAGGAGGCCGTGGCCCAGCGACGCCGGCTTCAGGACGAGGCCCTCGCGGCACGGGTGAACGAACAGCTGGCGGAGCTCCTCGGCGGACGGGCCAAGGCGGGGCCGGACGGTCCCCCTGGGACAGGCCCCAACCCCCTCGCCGGGGCCGATCCGGATGGCCTGTTCGGGAGGGGAAAGG